CTCCAAGACGGCCCAAGAAGCTTCCAAGACCGCCCCAAGACGGCCCACGAAGCCTCCAAGAGGGCCCCAAGACGGCCCAAGATAGCCCCAAGACAGCCCAAGAGGCGCCCCCAAGAGGAGCCCAAGGAGGGACCAGGAACCGAAAAGTCCGGCCTTCAGCCCCAAGGGGCCCCCAGGAGGCCCCGAGAGGCCCCCAAGAGGCCCCAAAGAGGCCCCAAGGGGCCCCCAAACGGCCACGAGAGGCCCCGAGGGGCCCCCAAGAGGCCCCAAGGGGCCTCCAAGAAGCACCCAAAGAAGCCCCAAGAAGCCCCCAGGAGGCCCCAAGAGGCCCCAACACGGCCCCCAAAAGGCCCCTGAGAGGCCAACCAACATCCGTGAGGCCTCTGAACCGCCACCCACCGCCTCCGAAAAATGGCAGCCGCCCAACCGCACCGCATTGACAACAGAACCCCGACAAACGACAGCGGCGAGGCAACACGGGCCGGCGGAATGAGCGAAGCGATGAAACAAAAAACGACCACCACCCTGGAGGCAAGCAGGGTGCTTCTTGGCATGGGCTTCCACTGTAGTGCATGGCAGGGGGGGGGCGGCAGAGGAGTGCGGCAGGCGCCGAGGGCGAGCCGAATCGAAAGGCACGCGGGGAGCCCATGCTGAATACGGCCCGACCAAGACAACGACCGGACCGACTGATGTCTGAGAGCCTGCGTGAAGACCATAAGCGGGAGAGGCGGCGCCCGCACTGGACAGCATCAGGGGAGGGGGGAGGATAGGATTCATAAAGGGAGTAGAGGCTTGGAGATGGGGGGGAAGGGGGGGAGAGAAACACGGAGCGAGGGAGGGACAGAGGGGGAAGGAAGGGAGGGGGGCGAGGACAAGCTAGGTGCGCGCGCGTCATATCTGACGTCCTACCCCTCCCTCCCATCCCTTACCATGGCGCTGATTTTCTCTATCCGCGGACTAGTGAGTGGTGGTGCGCGTGCGTGCGTGCGTGCGTGCGTGCGTGCGTGCGTGCGTGCGTGCGTGCGTGCGTGCGTGCGTGCGTGCGTGCGTGCGTGCGTGCGTGCGTGCGGGTGGTGGTGGTGCTGGTGCTGGTGCTGGTGGTGGTGGTGGTGGTGGTGGTGGTGGTGGTGGTGGTGGTGGTGTGGTGGTGGTGGTGGTGTTGGTGCGGGTGTGGGTGGGGTGTGGGTGTGGGTGTGGGTGTGGGTGTGGGTGTGTGTGTGTGTGTGTGTGTGCGTGCGTGTGCGTGTGCGTGTGCGTGCGTTGTGCGAGTGCGTGCGTGTGCGTGTGCGTGTGCGTGTGCGTGTGCGTGTGTGTGTCGTGCGTGTGCGTGTGCGTGTGCGTGTGCGTGTGTGTGTGGGTGTTGTGGTGTGTGTGTTGTGTGTGTGTGTGTTGTGTGTGTGCGTGTGCGTGTTGTGCGCGTGTGCTGTGGCATGGCACGGGAAATGACGCCAGCGCTGCAGCGGGAGCACGAGTCGAAACGGGCGGAAGCGCGGAAATGAGGCCAGCGCTGCAGCGGGAGCACGATTCGGAACGAGCGGAAGCACGGAAATGAGGCCAGCGCTGCAGCGGGAGCACGATTCGGAATGAGCGGGGCCCGAAAATGAGGCCGGCGCCTCGGCGAGAGCAGCATCTTGAAAAAAACACAAGCGAAAACCCGTTTCCCGGGAATCCTGTGTAACAAAAACAATACGCGGGGGGGTGTCGGATATCTTCGGGACGCCATCAGGGGAGGTGGGAGAGTATTTCATATTGTGTAATTGTAGAAAGGAAATAGGGTATGGAGGGTTCAGGCAGGGCCGAACAGTGGCAGCTGGAAAGGGAGGGGAAGAGCAGCTCTGTTATGCGCAAAGGGAGGAGAACACATATAGTACCAATGAGAGAAGGAGCCCATCATGAGGACTGGCAATCAGGAGGATTCTGAATCCGAAAGAGCGTGTTCTACCTCTGCTAGCGGAAAACCGGGGGGGGTCACTACCGGTTCGAACCCCTCCCCCCCCCCCCTCCGGAAAACCGGGGGGGGTCACTACCGGTTCGAACCCCTCCCCCCCCCCCCAGTTCATCATGAAAAGGGGGGGGGGTCACTACCGGTTCGAACCCCTCCCCCCCCCCCCCTCGAAAACCGGGGGGGGTCCTACCGGTTCGAACCCCCCCCCCCCTCCCCCCTCGAAAACCGAGGGGGGTGCGGACAGTGGTGGGGACGGTGGTGGTGGGGACAGTGGTGAGGGGACAGCGGGACAGTGGTGGGGACAGTGGGACAGTGGTGGGGACGGTAGTGGTGGGGACAATGGTGAGGACAATGGTGGGAACAGTGGGGACAGTGGGACAGTGGTGGGGGGGACGGTGGTGGTGGGGACAGTGGTGTGGGACAGTGGAAATGTGGTGGAAATAGGACAGTGGAGGGTACAGTGGTGGTGGGGACAGTGGTGAAGGCGGTGGCGAGGACGGCGGTGGGACAATGGGACAGAGGTGCAGTGGGGACAGTGGGGGGACAGTGGGGACAGTGGTGGGAACAGTGGGACAGCTCAGTGGTTCGAACCGGTTGTGACCCCCCCCTCCGGTTTTCGAGGGGGGGGGGGGGATTGGGGAGAAAACCGGTAGTGACCCCCCCCGGTTTTCGAGCTCGAGCGGGGGGGAGGGGGGGGTTAGGGGGGGGGGGGGGTTTTGCCGGGGGAAGGGGGGGGGGGGAGGGGTTCCAGCAGGGGGGGATTTTCGGAGGGGGGGGGGGGGGACCCCCCGGTTCCGAGGAAAAGGGCGGCAATTTTCCACAGTAAAGCGGCGGTGGATCACGCTCTCTCGAAGATGAAGAGGAAGATGAGGATCAGGGTCAGGAGAAGGATCAGGAGGAGTAAAGCGGCGGTGGATCACGCTCTCTCGAAGATGAAGAGGAAGATGAGGATCAGGGTCAGGAGAAGGATCAGGAGGAGGAATGGAGGAGAAAGGAGGATCCCCTCCATCTCTTGATATGACCACTTATTTTCGGACTGTGGACCGGAGCTCTCGGCCCCATCCTTGGGAGCGGGTCGTTATCTTAAACCCTTCTCTGAAGGTCCGAGAGCTACGACCATCCAGTACCTCCCCACACCCTCTCTCCTCCTCCTCCTCCTCCTCCTCCTCCTCCTCCTTCCTCCTCCTCCTCCTCCTCCTCCTCCTCCTCCTCCTCGTCCTCCCTCTTTCCACATCTTCCTCCTCCTTGGAAAGGGGGGCGGCGGGAGGGAGGCATGGGATGTGTGTCGGCTTGGGCCCCTTATGACAGCACCAGCGCCTGAACCCAGCCTCCTTAGACAGCGAAAACTGCGAGGCGCCCTGCGCGATCTTCTCGAGTCGCTGGGAATCTGGGCCTGCGATCCCAGGAGCAAACCCCTCACCAAACGCCCTCACTGTATGAGGGGCCCAGGGACACACACACACATATATATATATATATATATATACACACACTAATCACAAGATTCCTTCCCATATGTTCTGGGTGTTTGTCTTCCCCCCCACTTTCCATAATTTCCTAGATTTTCTTGGGAATCGACGATTCATTGTGCCTGTGGGTTTTTTTCCCCTCTTGACCGTAGCCAGCCGGCGAGAAAATCCCGAGACCTGGAGGGTCCCAAAGCGGTGCAGTGACAAATCTTCCAGTGACGTCAGAATCCCCAAAGAACTCACCGCACAGTCCGTCACTGCAAGGTGTTGGGACCTTGGGAGGCCCGAGTCGCCCGAGGCACCCTCGAAGAATGAGCCCAGTCCCAAACCCGTGCGGTCACCCCGAATCCTCACCGACTCACCCGACGGTGTGGTCACCGCACTGTTTCCGGGACTTCCGAAGAGTGCTGGCCGTCAGACGTCGGCTCCCAAGGGCTGGGATTTGACCTCGGACTGACTGTGCAACTCAGGATCCGCAGTGCAACGGCAACCCACGCCTCGCAATGGTGAAGCTCATGTCGGGAGCGGAGCCCCTTTTCGTAACCACGTGCGCAGACATTTCCGATGAAAGCGGAGGGATACATCCAAGGAGAGACCTGGAGTCACGCCGAGCCCTCCAGTGCATATCATTTTTGTGTGGAGCCGCTTGAGTGTACAACGTGTACAGGCCCATGGGGAAAAAAAACCTTGTATATTACAAGAAGGAGGTCTTGAACCGCTCCAGGTGTGCTCACCTACTGGTGTCCTATAATGGAGCCGACATCCTATCCTACTGGCAATTCTGCGAATTCGGGGAGCAGGCAGTGCAAACGATTGGAAACGAATAGCCCTAGTGGCAGAACCGCTTTCTGCTACTGTCTCCCCCCACCTCGCCAAAAGGCGCGTGGGAGGGTATTCAGCAGTCCGCTCCACCATAGCCCCGACGTCCAGGCAGACGCTCGGATCGTGGTCTGGTGCACCAAGGTTGGTTCCCAAAGTATCCATACCGCCGAGAGCCTACATGTTTACCATGCATGAAAACGATCCTGAGGGAAACGAGTCCTGCTGGATACGCTGGGGCTTCCCTAAAGTTGCTTTCGATCCAGAATCGCGTTCTGACTGTATCCAGGCCTGGGAAGGGCCTCGCGGCTCCGAAACCTGCTTCCAAAACCTCTGGACACCCCTCCCTCAAGATCCCTTTGGCACACGGTGACGCGTGTAGTGAACAGTGGCCTCAAAGGTGACACAGGCATGTCGCCGTCGTATCCGTGCCAGCCTGCTCACTGCCAGGACACGTGCTTCTGGCAGGCCTTGGCGACCCTCTTGGCGATGACCTCGGTGGCCTTCGAAGAGTAGCAGGTGCCCACCGGCAGCCTCATGTCGCCAGCGCCGGGCCGCAGGCTGCTGGCAGGGGGCCACATGCGAACCCTGCCCCTACCCCCCCCACGATTTCTGAGGGGGAGGGTGGGGCTCACTTCGCTCGGGAGCTCCCGAGCGAAGTGAACCCCACCCTCCCCCTCAGAAATCGTGGGGGGGGTAGGGGCAGGGTTCGCATGTGGCCCCCCAGCTGGGCCTCGCGCTCATCCTGAGCTCCAGGTCCTGGGCCGTCAGCCAGGCGGAAGTGGCGGCCGCCTGCTCGCCGCGGGCGCCGGCCACGTCGCTCGCGCGCGGCCCGTCGCCGAGCTCCTCCAGGAGAGGAAACATCGACAGCACCATACAGGGCAGTTTTCTTTTAACATTGGATGTTTAAAAACATTGGATGATATAAATGTATGCATGGACTCATCGTTGTTTGTAATACTAATTCCCTGCATTTTTGATACATGATCCGCACGCGGAGCATGTATGAAAAACTGCACTTTAAAACTTCGGGCGTTCCGCGCGGATTTCTTAGATCCGCGCTGGGCCCCCTCCCTGGCGCGCGGAGCGCACGAGGGGCGGCACCAGAGGCACCGCTGGGGGGCCCAGGCGTCGATCCAAGAGATCCGCGCGGAGCGCCAAAAGCTCATGTTTAACCCGGAGAAGCAATTAAGGAACCCCCTGGCGTTATCATTAGCACCGCGCCGTAATTAAATAATTATTTGGGGGGGTTTTCGCCGAGCGATATTATTAGCACCGCGCACATGGAAGGAAAATAAATAATTCCAGCGCCCCGCCTCGGGTGGCATCCCAATTAGAATTGTAATGAAAATAAGAATACGAATACGAATAAGGAAAAACTGAGACAAGCTAAGGAAAAGCTTAGAAAAGCTAAGACAAAGCTGAGAAAAGCTGAGGAAAGCTAAGGAAAGGCTAAGACAAGCTAAGAAAAAGCTGAGAAAAGCTCAGGAAAAGATCAAGAAAAGCTGAGAAAAGCGAAGAAAAGCTAAGGAAAAGCTGAGAAAAGCTAAGGACAACTAATGAAAAGCTAAGGACAACTATTGGAAAGCTAGGGAACAGCTAAGGAAAACTAAGGAAAACTTAAGAAAAGCTGAGGGCAACTAAGGAAAAGCTAAGGAAAAGCTAAGGACAACTAAGGAAAAGCTAAGGAGAACTTGTGACCCTCGCAGTGACCCTCGCAGAGTACCCCCAAGGCCTGAGTATGGAGGAAGTCCAAGGCGGGAGCCTTGTCTGTGAGCGCGTCCTCCTCCGTGTCCTCCTCCTCCTTTTCCTCCTCCTCCTCCTCCTCCTTCTCTTCCTCCAGCCCCCATGTTTCTAATGAGATTTCTATTGCAACCCCTTTGGACAAATTATTTTTTTCGGCCGTCGTAGGAGGTGGTCCATCCCAGGGTATCGCCCCCGCCCCGCACCGCGGCGTTATCTTAGCACCCGGCAGGACCAAAATAAATCCCCGAGCCAGAGTAGGAGTGGATCAGTGTACATGGTTACGGCACCGAACAGCGAGGGTCGAGCACTGGAAAGACGCGTGGCCACTGAAGCTCTCTGACTCCTCCGCATGCGTTTCCTCATTCTTTCAGGAAGGTGTACCCCCTCCTGGTGCCAGGATAACGCTTCCGGGTGCCGGGTGCGTTATCTTTTCACCGGAGAGGGGGGGGGGGGTCCTTAATCGCTTATCCGGGTTATGGCATTGATCGCGAATGAGTGCCAGGTAAATGCCATGTCGCCCTGTCCTCGCTCGTGGAGGCCCCTTAGCTACCACTCCGTTTATGAAAACCCCGTTTGCAGGGGCATGGTTCCGTTGGGGACGCCATAAGGTACCGATACCGCTGCTTCCTGGACCTCTCCTGGGGTGCGCTCTGACCAGGATTTCGGGCCGAATCCAGCGGTGGCGACGACGGAGGCCCAGGAGGCCCAAAAAGGAGGAAACGAGGGGAGGATAGAGGTACGGGTACCTTTTCCTCCTCTGATCCTTGGTGCCCTCGGCGTCGGCCGCCGCCATGCACTTCCACCACTGCCGGTCCCGCTCCGCCTGGTGTTTGGGTTGGGCATGTCCTCCTACAGGCGGATTTTGGAGGATAAACAAAACATCAATACATGTTTAAACATAGGCGACAATAATCAACAAGTCGTCCCCTGACCCTTTTTTGCTACTATTTTTGAATAATCCTCCTGTAGAGGGACAGTTCCGACTCAAGCCTGGTGGTGCTCGTCCCCGGAGCTCTCGAGGGCGCCGTCGGAGAGCGAGCAGCGGGTGCTGGCGGAGCTTCCCCCGCTGCGCAAGGAGCCCAGCAGCGCGCCGCCCGCCAGCGAACTCTCGAGGCACACCTCGAGGGGGAGGAGGAGGAAGGAAGAGGAGGAGGAGGAGGAGGAGGAGGAGGAGGAGGAGGAGGAGGAGGAGGAGGAGGAGGAGGAGGAGGAGGAGGAGGAGGAGGGAGGAGGAGGGGGAGGATGAGGAGGGGGAGGAGGAGGAGAAGGAGGAGAAGGAGGCGGAGGAGGAGGAGGAGGAAGAGACACCGATACCGCTGGTCCCCGGCCTCTCCCGCGGTTCGAGAGTCGAGAACTGCACAACCATACAGTGGAGGCCCGACTACAAGAGACCTTCCACAAAAAGACCAACCCTGAGACCCCAGGACGACCACTGTTTACTGGCGTGGGGACGTCACGCTTGCCATCGCAGAACCATCGAAACCCAAGAAACCCAGGGCAGCATGGAGGCGAGCAAGGTGTTTCTTGGCATGGGCCTCCACTGTACCGCTGGTCCACGGACCTCTCCCGTTTAGGAGGCAAGTACTGGCAGGTCTTCGTCGGAAGAACCTATGAATATTGAAACCCCATTGGTGGGCTGTTACGCCAAATTGGGCCTCGGACTTAGCGGGATTAAGCCGGATTAACCGGGACTAAGCCGGATTACACGGGATTAAGCCGGATTCATCGGATCAAGCCGGATCAGCCCAGATTTCCGACTGGGGCAGAATCAGAATCTGACCTCCCAGGAGCTGCATCCGAATCCCGTGGTTCGAGGATCAAGACCTGCACAAACACGAACATGCGGAAGCCCGCGCGGCTTTCTCGGATCAGCGCCGGGGCCCCCCCCGCCGGCGCGCGGAGCTCGCCGGGGCCGGAGCGGGCGCGCCCAGCGCCGAGCCAAGAAACCCGCACGGACCTCCGAGAGGCTGTGCTTGAGCCGTTGGCTTGGCCTTCGAGTGGTGCGCTCTGGCCGCGTGGCGACGCGGGAAAGGCAGCGGCATCGGCATTGGTCTCGGGTCGGGCAGGTCCTCCCACGGGCGGATCTTGCAGAAGAGATGAGCAATATGTCAACCTATTGACTAACAGGGTCTAAACAAATGTACAGACAACTCGTCCCCAGGCAACTTCTTAACAGACAGGCCCAGCGCTGTGCTTGCTCCTCCCCTGCCCCATATGGGCACCTCGGGGCTCTCTTTGGGGACGGGGGCCACAAAACGGTAGAACCAATTCGTCCACGGGCAACTCATGTTTTGTTAAACAATTCTGGCGTGCTCCTCCTGCAGACGGCCAGGCCCGGCGTAATAGTCCCTTGTTCGGGGATGGACAGAGCCCCCTTTAGCAAAACGTGGCTTAGTGAAGACGACCCCGGGCCCAAACCTGGTGGGCGCCAGCCTGGAAAACGACGGCCGCGGCGCCCTCTCTCGAGTGCCGAGAACGGACTCTTCACTGATCGACGTGTCGGGGCAGCAGGTCTACCAAACTCCGAAACACTCGAGTCCCTCCCCCAAATGTGAGGAGGCAAACTCTTTACACCGACGCTCTTTCCGGCCCCGCACTGGCATTCGCACAGGCAAGCGGCTCCTGGTGTATACGGGATCCTGGTGTATACGTTTTGCGCTGCTTCCCCGGGACCGCGGGGACGCAAGCATACACCACACCTCCCCGACGTCGTCCCCGACCCTCAACAATCGGGGATGGACAGACCCCCCTTTAGTAAAACGTGGTTTAGCGAAAACGTCCTGAGGCCCAAACCTGGCGGGCGCAAGCCTGGAAAAGGACGGCCACGGCGCCCTCTCGAGAACCGAGAACGGACAATTCACTAGTCGACGTGTCACTGTTGGGGACTCTGTCCGCCCCCGAAACAAAATCCAGGGATTGAAACACAGCCCTCCGCACACGCTCCAGTTTCCGAGTAATGGGCACCTTGGGGCTCTCCGGGGACGGGGGCGGGGAGCCGAGGCCCGCGTGCGGCGTCGGGGGCGGCGACGTCGCGAAGCGGCCGTCGAACTCGCAGACCACCGCCGCGGCGTCCTCCCCCTCGGCCGCGCGGGCCCCCCCCGCCGAGGCCTCCTCCCCCGCGGGGCCCAGGCCGCAGGGGCTGCGGCCGCACTGGATGCAGAAGGCGGCCTGGCCGAAGGCCTCGCGCAGCCGGGCCTCCTCGAGCTCCCCGAGGACGCAGTTGAGGTTGCGCTCGAGCTGGTAGGGGTCCTCCGTCAGGGATCGGCCCAAACAGTGTGCGTCTCTCGTGATGGGTTCCGTCTTCGTGTTTCCTCGGCTTTTGTTGTCTTCCGTCGGCGTCTGCGCCGCACAGCGAAATCGACATGGAAGCGGCCCACGAATTCGCCAAAAACCGTTTGGATCGACCCCTGTCCTCCACGTGCAGCCGCATGTGCCACCGACCGCGCAGGCCCTCGAAGAACGAGTCGCCGTACTGCAGCCGGTGGCCGAGGCGCACGGAGACCACCTCGCGGGCGCAAGAGAGCGGCGAGGACTGCAGCAGCAGAGATGGCCTCGACTTCCTCGGTTCGGCGCTGGACTCCTTCTCCCTCGCGCAGGGGGGTCCAGCGCCGATCCAAGAGGTCCGCGTGGGAGGAGGAGGAGGAGGAGGAGGAGGAGGAGGAGGAGGAGGAGGAGGAGGAGGAGGAGGAGGAGGAGGAGGAGAAAGAGGAGGAGCAGGAGGAGGAGCAGTGGGAGGAGGAGGAGGAGGAGGAGGAGGAGGAGGAGGAGGAGGGAGGAGGAGCAGGAGGAGGAGGGGGGGGAGGAGATTTGCTCTCTCCCTCGAGCCTCGGTGCCCCAGCCGAAGTCCTGGGCGTAGAACATAAAGAAGCGGAACAGAAGCTCGCCCAGGGGCAAGCGATTGGACCACACGGACCTGGCCGCGGCCAGCTTCGCGTGCCCAGCCTCGCCACCGCCGCCCGCGAACGCCGCGGGCGGGAGGCAGGGGAGCTTGACGTCCTGGTGAACCTGCATGAAGTAGATCGTGAGAAGAGTGAACGTGTACGAAGATCCGCCGGGCCCGAGGTCCACGGTGGGGCCTTCGAGCTGCGAGCTGCTGCGTGCGACTCGTGCAGCTACGCATGTAGGTATAAGACATGCAAGGGCCAATCGGCATCGAATCGGGACACCGAATCGTGCCGCACGGGCACGGAGTCCAACCGTGACATGCGCCAAATCTGCCGCATCGTGCGCCAGATCGCGCCGCACCGGCATGGAGTCGGAATCGAACCAGGTCGGTCGCGCCAAGATGCACAGCAGCGCCATCGGACGAGCGCGTTCCACCACTCGCAGAGTAACTGCTCGCAAATGGCCTGGATCCGCCGAGGGGATCTACGATGAATGACAGCGCAGCAGAGGTGCGTGTGCGTGTGCGTGTGCGTGTGCGTGTGCGTGTGCGTGTGTGTGTGTGTGTGTGTGTGTGTGTGTGTGTGTGTGTGTGTGTGTGTGTGTGCGTGCGTGCGTGCGTGCGTGCGTGCGTGCGTGCGTGCGTGCGTGCGTGCGTGCGTGCGTGCGTGCGTGCGTGCGTGCGTGCGTGCGTGCGTGCGTGCGTGCGTGCGTGCGTGCGTGCGTGCTGCGTGCGTGCGTGCGTGCGTGCGTGCGTGTGTGTGTGTGTGTGTTGTGTGTGTGCGTGTGGTGTGCGTGCGCGTGCGCGTGCGCGTGCGCGCGTGCGCGCGTGCGCGCGTGCGCGCGTGCGCGCGTGCGCGTGCGCGCGTGCGCGTGCGCGCGTGCGCGCGTGTGTGTGCGTGTGTGTGCGTGTGCGTGTGCGTGTGCGTGTGCGTGCGCGTGTGCGTGTGCGTGTGCGTGTGCGTGTGCGTGTGCGTGTGCGTGTGCGTGTGCGTGTGCGTGTGCGTGTGCGTGTGCGTGTGCGTGTGCGTGTGGGTGTGGGTGTGGGTGTGGGTGTGGGTGTGGGTGTGGGTGTGGGTGTGGGTGTGGGTGTGGGTGTGTGTGTGTGTGTTTCGGACGTCTGCGAGTAGGCACTCTGCGAGGAAACGCCCGGCGAGCCATGCAAGCACCAGGCCGCCTTGGGTCGTCGGCACATCGGGGATCTTCTGACCCAGGTCAATCCAGACCCGGGTCAGCAGGAAACCAAAAACTGCAATGCAGGAAAAAAAACTGCAACGCAGGTCTTCGCAAACCCGGGTCAGCCAATCTGTGCAGCCGCCTCGCGGCCACGAGCGGCTCGCTAACCCAGGTCAGCCAGAGGGGGTCTTCGCAGGATCCTGCAGGATCTGGCGCTGTGGCTGACCCCCATTTGCATTGACCCCCGTCTCAAGGCTCCCGAGCACATCGCTGCCGTGCCAGGTCGGGCCGACGGACCTCAGCATCCGAGTCGGCTGGGCCCCCAGGCGCTGCGAGCTGCCACGACGTGTGCAGGCGCACAGAGCACGTGCGCGCACGGGGAAACAGGGTCGAGGCCTTCGGTCGGGCCTGTCCCCCTACAGGTGGGTTTGGGACGAATAATGAAAAATACCAAAAAATGAATCAAAAGATGCCCCAAAATACTCAAAAAATAGTCCCTAGTCTATTCTTTGACTATTTTTGAATATTTCCCCCTGTAAAGGGACAGGCCCGACTTAATCGGGGGAATTCGATGCGGCGAGCGGCTTGAATAAGGAACGCGTACTTTTCAGAAGGGGCTTGGTCGCCCCTTCGGCTTACATGCCTTTGTTTTATCGTTCCTTGTGCGGTATGTATTATTTGTCGTTCCTTATGCATTACTCCTTGGAAGAATAAAGGGCTTCGTTCCTTATGTACCGCTCCTTAGGTCAGACCGATGACTGTAGCTCTTGGGTTTCTGACCGGACTGCAGGCTCCACCCCGCGCCCCTGGGGCCACTCAACCCAGACTACAGGTATCCCCGCCCGTGGCCCCCAGGTAGCCACCCTCCCATCCCGCACCCCGCGGCCCGCAAATAGAACCACCTCCCATCCTTAGCGGCGCGCGCAAGGGGGTGGAGGAAGGGGGGAGGGCTTCTTAGAAGGAGCCTGCTTCTGAGAAGGCGCTGGCTTTACAACTATGGATGAGGCCCGCGCCTTCTGAGAAGCAGGGGTGGTCCTAAGAAGCCCTCCCCCCTCCCCCCCCCGTCTGCGCGTGGCTCCCATCCCGCACCCCCCACCCATCCCGCAGGGGACACGTGACCGGGAATCTCTGGGAACTGGCGATTCTGGAAGATGCATCGGCCGCCGCGGCCGTTCCAGCGCGCTCTGGAGCGCTCTGCGAACCTTCCGGAACGCTCTGGAGCGAGTTATCCCCATCAGCCTAGACCTACTGGAAGAGTCGAGGATCTTCTGACACGGGTCAATCCAGACCCGGGTCAGTCAGGCCTTGCAAAATCCTGCAAGATCCTGCAAGATCCTGCGCCCAAGCCCGCATCAATACGGAGGGTCCTGCAGGATCCTGCACCCAAGCCCGGGTCAATGCGACCCTGGCCCTGCAGGATCCTGCAAGATCGGGCACTCTGGCTGACCCCCGTGTGCATGGACCCCCGTCTCGAGGCTCCCGAAAGAGCCCCCCCCCCCCACCTCCGGGCAGGCCGCAACCACCGAGCCAGAAGCCCCCCGCGAAAGGGCCAGGAACGCCCCCTGGAGGGCCCCACTGCGATCGTCGCCCTGCTTTGCTCTCGGTTAGCGCGGATAGTACATTGGTTACACTGTGCTCGTATAAGTAGGTTAACTAAGTCAGTTGCATACAGGTTATCCTATGTTGGCTATCCGTTTTCGCCTAACCAGGTTATCCACTTAGCCTACTTCGGCGAACCAGGTTAGCAAATTGCCGCTAACCTACTTAACGTCCGATGGTATGGGCCCTCTCGGGGCCTCCACGTCGTCATCATCGTCGCCGTCGCCGTCGCCGACGCCGACGACGCCGACGACGACGAAGGGGGGAGGTGCCCGTGTGCCGTCCGCGTGCACCAATGTACTATCCGTGCAAGCCGAGAGCAAAGCGGGTGGGTTTGCTCCTCATAGCTTGCACCGCATCGCTTTCACCACAAAGCTCACACCGCATAGCTTGCACAAAATAGCTTATACCACATAGCTTACACCGCATCGCTTTCAACTCCACAATGCAATAACTCACAGTTCGGGGTCACGCTAGCTAACATTTGAGCAGGATTTCGAGGCGGATCCAGCCGTGGCGACGACGAGCACCCCCTGCAGGGACCCGAAAAAAAGGCAAACAGCGCCCGAAAACCCTGGGGGCGGGTCGAAACCTTAGAATTCTGATGTTTTTTTTCCACTTAGGTGAAGGAGGGGGAGGGGGTGCAAGGGGGGGAGGAGATGGGGGGCGAGAGAGGTCGTGTCGCGCCGCCCCGCTCGGCTGCCCGCCCCCGCCCGCCCGCCGTCGACGGCATGACCGTGACGGAGAGAGCGACCGAGAGAGAGCGAGCGGCCTCGGCCGCCCCGAGCTTCGAGGATCAACGATCGAGGAATCGAGGATCGAGGTTCGAAGGATCGAGGACCGAGGTTCGAGGGGGATCGAGGATCGACAGGGTTCTCGAGGGATCGAGGATCGAGCTTCGAACTTCGAGGATCAGGGTCCTAGGAGGATGGGGGCCCAGCGGGCCCGCGCCTTTGAGGCCCGTCGAGCGGGCCTGGGACCGCGGGAAAACCAAAATTGGGTTCACCGCTTTTGCTGGGAGGGGTGATGTCGGCGCTGGCTTTGGTGTTGGAGCGGTCTGATATGAGTTGCACCTGTGGGGCTGGTCACAGGAACCCATGCTGAACTGCGGTAGATCGTAGATTGCACCACATACATTGCACCGCTATATTGCACGACATATGCCGTACATCACCACATAGATTGCACCGCATATATGCCAAGAGCGCCCCACAGTTCCAATATCACACACGCACATGTGTACACGGATGCTGGGCGACCGATTGGGCAACGCAATCCGCCGACCCAAATGATGACGATGCTGGTGTTGAGGATGGCGGACGGCGCTTGCGAGCAAGCTCGCATCGCGACGGTGACGATGATTGCGATGGCATGCGTACATTTGCTTCGCATAGCGGCAGGAAAAATCACTCGCGAAATACAGTTGAATAAATTGAACTACAAGAAATTCTGCTGCTGGCCACAATGGTTGGACATGATGAGACTTTGCGATACTTACAACAGCCGTTGCCATCTTCAACGGAAGGCCAAGGCGACACGCAGCTCCAGCTGAACCCGTCCACCTCGGCGTGAAACCACACCTCTGCAACCACCTCGCCCGAATCTATTGCCACGACGTCGTTGGCCATTACCGTCCTGTGGCATGCCACAAGACGCCCCGAGGACCTAACGGCCCTCGCGCCACTGATCGCTGACCTCATTGCCTCGGCCACTTTTCGATGGGCATCCTTCAGCCCCCGCAAGGGCCCGCTGTCCAAAGAGGCGCTGATGTCATGCATGCCTTGGCACGTCATGTCCTCGAGGACTCCAGTGTCGAAGCTGGTGGTGTTGTGCCGATTGGTGCACGTGGCTTTCAGAACTCTGTGTTTTCTCTCTTGTACAAACGCGTTAAGTAAGAAGCCAAACTTCTGCAGCATCGGCGCTAAATGAACACTGTAGTGGTGCTTTGGGATCCAGATCTCGCGCCCGCAAGCGTCAACGTGGGCGCGCAAATGCGAGAGCACAGCGGTCTCCAGCTCTCTCGGGGCAACAGCGTTCACGATTGTCAGCGTTCCCACCAGATCGCACAAGAGAAGGGCACTGGCGACTTCCTTAGCACAAACCCCAGTCGGGCGAACAACGTTCATCAAATACAATGCAATGACTGGCGTTGCCGATAGCATCTCTGAGGCAGATCCCCCGAACTTGCCGTCACAACATACTTTCGCACCAGATTCGTAACCGCCTGGCCAACAAAATTTCGTCAAGAATGCCCCGAGCTGCGCGTGCCCTAACGAGTGCGCGTCCAGTCGACCAAGCAGCGCGCACATCTCGACCACGAAAGTGCCGCTGATGAACAGGATGTGCATCCAATCGAACATTATCAAGTTGGGCATGTCTAGAGAAAGCACGGGGCATAGAAACGCATTTTCGTCCGAGTGGTTGAAGCCAAAGAATGTTTCCAACTGGGGAAGGTCGTTGCCGCCCCCATGCGCCACGGCTTGCAACCTCTCGAGAACTCTCGTGATGGTGTCCTTCGTGTGGACCACATACTTGTCCACTTCTAAACATGCACTCGAGATAAGACGCCCCGTGTGGTCAGGCAGCCACGGGCATTTGTGAGAGACCACATTCTGACACAGCGGGCAAAGTTTGTGGCCCGAGTGCCCCTTGCATAACGTCGACAACTTGTGCGCCACCAAGTCTTGCAATAAGCAAAATACCTCGCCGAACACTAGCTGCGGGCTGCCCAACGACAGGTCGAGTTGAACGCCGTTTTTCAAATTGCATGGCGGGGCAAAACACACATGAAGCAACCTTTTGATCAGCTGGCTCATCCCACCGTCGAGGCGATCCACCTGGCTGGCGCGGATAGCTGACAACGTGAACCACCACTCCTCCATGCAAAGGAACTCAGGCGGCAAGTCTGCTAGCGTCCAATAAATTCCGTGGCATTTGCGATAATTTCTGGAGTTCAGCTGTTGGCCTGGCGTGACCTCGTCCGTATACAAGATCATCCTGACCTTGCCACCCGCCTTTTGCAATGCGCCTGCAATCGTGTCCCTGACGCGCGGGGATTGCTTGCAAGCTACTTCCAGGGCGGCCAGCGGGTGTTGAACAGGAGCCGACATGGCAGCACCGTCGTCATCAACTAAATCAAGCTGCTGGACCAGCGGGCCAAAGGATGTCTTCTGGCTGCAGAGTGCCTTGCGCTGCCTGCGCATCGTCCCCTCACTGACGGCATCTGGGATCCCGAACTCACGTGCATCCACCAGGATCTGTGACAGGGCGGCATTGGATACGTGGCTCTCCCTGCCAAAATCAATAAGCCTGAGTCGCTTAGTCATGACGACGGCTTGAGCGAAAAGCGCTACGGATCGTCGTCGTCGCGGGCCCGACCGCTGACTACTACTACTACTACTACTACTATTACTACTACTACTACTACTACTACTACTGCTGCTGCCACTACTACTACTACTACTACTACTTACTACTACTACTACTACTACTACTACTACTACTACTACTACTACTACTACTACTACTACCTACTACTACTACTACTACTACTACTACTACTACTACTACTACTACTACTACTACTACTACGACTACTACGACTACTACTACTACTACGACTACTACTACTACTACTACTACTACGAGCCCTCGCAAGACCTTTTAGTCGGAGGAGGGGATATATATATATATATATTTATATACACATACATATATATATATTGCACCGCATATGTTGCAACACATAGATACACGAGTTGAGGCCCACGCTAGCGGGAGCTGCCATGCGCCTCCCTGGGCCCAACGGCACCATCCAGCCTGGGAGTGCCTCATGAGGGCCCCGCGAGGCCCTCGTCGCATGCACATGCCGATGCTCCGGGGTCAACGCCATTCCACGATCGATTTTCCTTTCGGGCAACCTCTGTCCACCAACTGCGCGGCCAACGCTGCAACCTCTGACAGCCAACTGCGCGACCAACGCCGCGCGAAGGCTGGCGCCTCTGAAAAACTGCGCTGGGACTGGAAATGCCGTGCGGATATATGCACTGCGATGTCGCAAGGCTGACGCCGCTGAAATATCACAAGGCTGTCACAAGGCTGACGCCGCTGAAAGGCTGGCACCGCTGAAAGGCTGACGCCGCTGAACGGCGGATACGAAGGGATGCGAACTGCTGCTGTGCTGAGATATCTAGCCGCAGGGCGAGTAAGCCGTCGGCGGCGGCATTGCCTGGAACGGGGCCTTCGTCACCGTCAAGATGAGAGGCCGCGGGGGCGCAGCTGCCTTTGATACAGCAGGGGGCGGCACCATGCACCTGGGAGGCGGAAACAACGGTGGCCGCGGGCCTGCGGGTGGGGCCCTCGGACTGCCCTGCAACCAACTGAGCTGGCTGCCGCCGTACATCTGCATGTCAGAGCCGATGCCGCCCGTCTGAATGTCGCCGCCGCCGTAGCCCGCGGCGTGCACGTTGTTCTCGGCCACCTGGCGCGTGAGCAAATGTTCTGGCGTCCTGGGCGCGGCACCCGCCGAGGCGATGTCATATTGGCTGCCGATGCCCTGAATGAAGATGCCCTGGACGCCATTCGAGACGTGCGGGGTGGCGATGAACGATGGCGCGCGGACAGGCGTGGCAACGCCGTGATGAAAGATGTCCTGCGCGGCGGTGATGCCTGCATGCACGGCGACGTCCTGCGGCATGTCATGCACGGCGGTGCCGTGCGTGATGGCTCCAATGCAAGGTCGGCCCTGCGCGGCGGTGTCCTGCGCGGCGGGCGCGGCCTCCTGCTGCTCGACTCCGTCCGCGGTGATGCCCTGCGCGGAAAGATCCCGCGCGATCGCATGCTGGCCGATGTCCTTCGCATCGGTGCCCTGTGTGGGGGTTGGCGGGAGCTTCGCGGCGACGCCCGCGTGGGCGGCCCCGCCCGCGGGGGCGGTCATGCCCGCGGAAGCGGCCATGCCCGCGGAGGCGGTCATGCCCGCGGGGGGGGGCCCAGGGTCGGCCCCGCCGCCCGCGGCGGTGCCCCCCCTGCCCTGCTGGCTGTTCTTGCTGACGCTGATGTTCTGGAACGGGGACGGCTGCGACTCCGTGGTGGACGAGTCGGGGCCTGGAACTGTGAAGCGCACTGACCCGCGTTCATGTCGGAAGTACCCGCCGCCGCCTGCGACGCGGCCCTAGCGCGCAATGCAAAACCCACGATTCCCCACGCCTCCCCCCTCACCCCTCCCCCCTCCCCCCCCCCCCTCCCCATGCCCATATATTCCCCATGAGCTCCCGCCCGAGCCCCCAGAGTTCAGAGCCTGTCGAGGAGTCCCCGAGAGATCACCGACAGCCCTGCGGGAGGCGGAAGGCCGAAGGCCCCTGGACAAGCACCCTGGACAGTTAGTCGATTCATGGCATGTCCAACCCTGATCGAACGTGAGGGCTCGGACCATGACGCTGATGGTCGAGAGGAACTGCTGTCCGCACCTCGTCATGGCTGAGGATACGGGAAACACCTTCGGGCTACGCCCGAGAATCAATGCTTCACTGAGCAGCCTCGGCTACGTATGGAGGCTTAGGGCGTCGGTGGTTTGGGGGGGGTCCCCTCTTCCAATCCTTCTCTTCCCCTTCGGGGACAGGTTTGCCGCGCCCCCCCCCCCCTGCCTCCTTTCCACATGGGCATGGCGTTCCCGAGGTGACAGGATGCACTTGTTCGCGAGTGGCGGCTCCAAGGGTGCCTCAGGGGCCCGAAGACGATCTTTCAAGATGGCTCGCGATTCCCTAATACGCCTCAAGATGCACCCCAAGATGCTCGACAATGCCCCCAGAAAGTCCCAATGCGGCTGGCTACAAGTGGCCACCGAAACCTCAAAGGCCTCCGAGAGGCCAACATCCTGCAACGGCTTGAAAATAACACTGACTGCCTAGAGAGGGCCGAACACGTTCTGGGCCCGCCGACGGGCCCGACTCGGGTTCAGGGGGAGCGATGGGGGCCTTTCGAGGCCACAAGATGGCTCCAAGATTGCCCAAGAGGGCCACAGATGCCCAAGTAATCAATGAGTTATTGCATACGCCCCTTGGGGCTAGCGTCCATAGTGCGCGCAAGCGTCGCCGCATCCCCCGCAAACGTGCGCCTGTGTGCGATGTTGCTTCTGACAATCCTGACTGCGGGGGTGCCTTGCAGGGGTGCGCCTCTTGGGGAATGCGCCCAAAGCGTGCGCAAGCATCGTCGCCTGGCGTCGGCGGCCAGGCATCCGAGATGCCTCTGGCCATCTTGATCGCCCCCCCCCCCCCTCCTCAATCCTCAATCCTCCTCCCCCTCCCACTCCTTCTCATCATCGCCCATCATGTTATTCATAACACGTCGCTCTCCTCTCTCATCAATCCTTCCTCTTCCTTCTCAACCTCCACCTGCAAACGGTTCGGGTGCCCCCCTCGTTGCTCTTACACGACCCTCCTCGCACCTCAACTCGCCTGGGCGCCCTTTCTGTATGGGTCGGTGGAAATATGCGAAGCGCCAAGCACTGATTGGACTGGGTTGGGCCCCACGCATGGGTTGGGCCCCACGCGAGCATGCTCGCATAGTGCATTGTAGATAGCCCGACGGTTGCCAGAATAGCGCTGAGTAGCTCCCAGGACGGGTGGATTCAGATAGCTCGGCATTTACCTTACATTGCCCATTGCATATGCGTGCTGCCCAGCCTCCAAGTGTGGGTGGGTGGGTGGGTGGGTGGGTGGGTGGGTGGTGGGTGGGTGGTGGGTGGGTGGTCAGTGGGTGGGTGGTGGGTGGGTGGTGGGTGGGTTGGGTGGGTGGTGGGTGGGTGTTGGGTGGGCGGGTGGGCGGTGGGCGGGTGGGCGGGTGGTGGGTGGTGGGTGGGTGGCGGGCGGGTTGGCGGTGGGTGGGCGGGTGGGCGGCGGTTGGGCGATCTACGTATCTATCTTTTTACATGTCTACCCATAGATCAGATCGGTATATATATACATACATATATATGTATATATGTATGCATGTCTTCTTATCTGTTTATATATATGCCTCTGTTGGTGGTTTGGGGGCGGGAGGTGGATGGTATACTCTGGAGGCGAGTCGCTTTTTCAAGCAGGCGCGGCGCAACACCACCCGAACGCATAATGCCACAGCTGCACCACACTCGCTGCGCACGCCAACCGACACGGCCAAACGCCGCTGTCACGGCACGGCCAACAGCCGCTGCACCCTGCACGGGAAGACTGCACTTTGATTACTACCGATGCCGTCGGCCCTGCTGCACCCCCTGCTGCACCCCGTCGGCCGTGCCACCACGCGGCCAAACGCCGCTGCCGTTCTGCGCTCCATGGCACGACACGGCCAAACGCCGGTGTCCGTCCCCGCTCTAATCGCTGTCGTAGCCGTCGGTGATAATGTACCGAACCTTGAATGTAGGCCTCGCTGCACGGGCGCCCTGAAAGGCAGGGTTTGTCGGGATGTCCTCGGCCTGCATCCTGAGAAACTGCTCCCTGACCTCCTTTGGCATGCTGGCGTCGTCGAGCGACGGCCACTCGTGCTCGAGCGCCCGCTTCCGAGTCTCCTTAGTCGGGGCGAAGCGGGGAGGGTCGCCACCGCCGCTTCCTTCCTCAGAGGCTGCCGCTGCCGAAGAGGGGGTGCCAACTTTGCCGCTCTCGCTGTGGTCTCCGCCGTCATGGACATCGGCGGGCTCAGCATCGGGCGCTTCTCCCGACTGAGGACCAGCGCTTCGGAGTTCCGATGGCGTGTGCCGCGGCCCTGCAGAGGGCGCGGGGTGCATTGCCGCAGATGGCGGCGCTGGCATGCGACGACGCGCAACAGCGCCGAACGAACAAATATGAACGCAGTTCGAGCCAAAACGGCTACGGAAGCAAATGCAACCATCACCTGCCCCGCCACCGCCACCCGCGGGGGCGGGGCCATAGCGCATGGGGGCCCCACCATGTTCACCACGAGCGTTTCGCCTGAGGCATCCCCGATGACATGGATGATGACGATGGCCATCGTGATGGTGACAGTCGGTTGTGGCATTGCCATTGTGGCCGATGGCTACATGAAGGCGAGCGCTGGCGATGCACTATTTTGCGAGGGGTGGCTGGGTGCATGCATCAATCTTGCGAAGCATCGTGCCTGCGAGTGAAGTCCACAACGGCTGCTTCTATAGCCCCGCGGTGCCAGTCCTAGCAAAGTCAGCACGCGGAGGAATGCTGCGGGGGGGAGTTGGCGCAGGGGCGGAGGAGGATGGGTTCTGAAGCGGGGCTGGGACTTCGGTGGTAAGATGAGGGACGCCATGGGCGATGAGGAGGAGGGGGAGGAGAAGGAGGATGTTGAGGAGGATGCCGATACGGAGGGGCGAAGATTGGGATCAGCAGGTGAGCGGGGGCGCTGAGGAGGGGCATGAGCGGCGGCCGCGGCCGCCTCGGGAAGCAACGCGTCGAACTGACTGGGGCTACATACAAATCGAATTCGTCTGCTCAAGTAGTAAGTTGGCGCGGCAAGCGAGCAAGCTCAGCTGGGGCGCGCGATCGTCGCCACAACAGGCGTTCACTGAGACGTGCGGCCTACTTCCCGAATACACGCTCGTACGACTTCAGCGCCACGTGGTAGACCTCCTTCGCGACGTCCTTCGCCTCGTCCTCGCCCATGCCACTCGACAAGCACCGCCTCTTGGCGATTCCGTACGCCCTCGAAGTCCAGTCGTTCTTCCCCTTGTGGTAGGTGGCCTTGCACGTGGCCTCGGAGCGGAAGTCGGAGGCGCAGAGCTTGACGACGGCCGCAGCTGGCCTCTTCCTGGCGGCGCCAGTCTGCGCGGCGGCGCCAGCGGCCTTGCCGCCTGTGCGAGCCGTAGCCGCGGCAGCGAGAACGTCGGCGACTCTAGCCTTGCCCTCCTTCTTCGTGACCTTGGATTTGAGCCCCCCCTTGCCCTTGGCCTTTGCTTTTGCCGTTGCTTTCGGCGCACCGTCGGCCGCTGCCTCAGCCGTGGCCCTGCGCTTGCGCAGCTTGGCCGTCTCGGCTGCATCTCTGACGGCCTGCTCCAGGTCCTCAACTGGGTCGCACTCCCGAGCGACGGCGGCGATGGGCGGGGAGTCTCCCAGCATGGAAGGGTGCACAGACGAAGGCGTCGGCGCAGACGGCGAAAGCGAAGACGCCGTCCCCGCCCGAGGCGCCAGCGCAGCCAGCGGGTCGGCCGCCGCCGCGGCCAGTCCACCTGGGGCGCGCGACGCTGCACCATTCTTCGGGACCCCGAAGATCTGCAACCCAGGGATGGTCCCCATCGCCTGCTGCATGACCTGCGCGAGGGGGGCAATCGCCGAAGTCACCGCCGTTGCCATCATCTGCTCCGTGGAAGTGCCGTAGGGGACAACTGCGCTGCCCTGCTCCTTCACACCTTTCTTGGACTCGCGGTAGGCGCAGGACGCCGTCGCGCAAGGCAGGCCCTCAATCACGAACGGCACGGGCTGACTGTCACCGTAAGCATGCTGCAGGTGGGCAGCGGGCAACGCCGACGGGTCAGCTGGATACACGAGGATGTGTGCCAGCGGGAACTTCTTATCCTTGTCCAAGCTCTTGACGTAGCTCCTGATATTCTTTCCGGTGTTCGACTGGCTGCCCGCGCCCATGGTCGTCACCTTGAGCCCAGCCAACTGGGTGATGCTCGTCGCGCGCTTCAGCACCTGGTTCGGAGGGCAGACCAGCCCCAGTTTGTACAGCTGCACGGCCACCATGCGGGTAGCAATATCAACATCGATGACATCACTCTTGAAGTAATCGTGAAGCTGCTGCGTGAAATACTTCTCCAAGGAGTCGCATGTCTGCGGCGGCCGCGTGCCACCCGAAGGGTCGGTGCGTTCTGCGGCGGCGTTGACCGCGGCCGCGATGTTTGCCATCTGGCTGCTGGACCAGGGCCCCAGCTTAGCCTGGCGCGTCAGGCGGGCGGCACCATCCAAGCTCACGGACATCTGGCTGAGGTGGGCTACGAAGGCGCTGGCCTGAGAGTCGGACACGTCGAGGCCAACGGAGCGCTGCAACGTAACGATCTCCGAGCGCTGGTTCAGCTGCGTAACGAGCCCTTCAACCACTTGCTGCGCATGGGGAACAGCGGCCGCCATCGATGCCACCCTCGCACACGAAAACAAAAAAAAAGCTGAGACCAAGCCTGAACACTCGAGCCACAACTGCTGCGGCGCGCCGAGTGTTCCCCCGACGCACCCGCTGGCAAATCCACGCACGGCTGGCGACATCGGGCCAGCGCCCGCGAGAGTAGATGGAGTGGGTATGAGGAGGGCGGCCAAACACTCTGGATGATGAGGGTTTGAGGGTGACGATGCCGCGAGCGAGGCCAACGGCGAGCGAGGTTGCAATGTTACGATTGGGCGGTGCCAAAACGTAACATATGTTACGTTTTAGGGGGCCCAAAACGTAACATGTGTCACGTTTCGGGGGGTGCGATTCGTAACATCGCGTTGTTTGTGCACCTCATATGAAATATTACGAATCGTGGGGCGCAAATCGTAACATATGTTACGTTTCAGCGGCGGCAGATCGTAACATATGTTACGATTCAGTGGTGGCAGATCGTAACATTTGTCACGTGTCAGCGGTAGCGAATCGTAACATCTGGTATGCTTCATGACTCGGTGCCCCAGAGAAGTCGCCAACTGAAAGAACTGCCCGCCCATGATCTATCATGACGCCCGTGTGCCCACCCACCCGCCCAACACGCCGCCCGCGCATTTGTCACGATAGCACAGCCCGAAGCCCTGCACGCGATGGAGGGCGGCTGAGCGGCGCAACGCGCCTCTCAACAAACGTGCCGACAGCCGCGCGCACGCGCGCAGCAGAGCGCGGTGCGCGGGCCCACTCAGAGCGCACCGAGCTCGGCCAGGGCCTTCTTGAGGCGCCGAGTGTTGACGACCCGCCCCCCGCGCATGCGCGCCTTGCGGACCTGCCGCTTCACGTCGTCGCTCCCAGCGGCGTCGCCGTCGGCGGCCAGGTCGTCGGCAACCTGCGGGCCGTCGTCGTCGGCGTCGCCGCCGCCGTCGCCGTCGCCGTAGCCGTCGCCGTCGTCGTCATCGCCGTCGCCGTCGCCGTCGTCGCCGTCGCCGTCGTCGTCGTCGTCGCCGCCACCGCCGTCGCCGTCGTCGTCGTCGCCGCTGTCGTCGCGATTGGCGTCGACGTCGGCGACGACGACGACGAACCTCGTCCTCGCGCATGCGCTTCATGGTCTCGATGATCGCGCCCTGGTCGATCCTGTACTTGCCATTGACGGTGACCGCAGTGGTGCTCGAGCTGCTCGCAGCACCCGTCGCGCGATGGCCGTGCTGCTTGGCCCACCCCTCGCCATCGTTGTAGCCGCCTCCATCGCCCTGCTGGTTGCCGCCTGCGCTGTCCTGCGGGTAGCCCCACTCGTCATCCTGCGGGTCGTCGCCCTGGGCATCTGCGTAGCCCGTCATGTCCTGCGGGTAGCCGCCCTGCGGGTAGCCGTCCTGCGGGTAGCCCCACTCGCCTTGCGGGTAGGCCCACTCGTCCTGCTGGTAGCTCCACTCGCCCTGCGAGTCGTAGAAGACCCACTTGTTGTCCTGGAGCCGCCAGTAGCCATCCATGGAGCCGCCCCGCGCGTCACGCGCGCGGCCGCCCCACCCGTCGCCCTGCGCGGTGTCGCCCCAGCGCCACCACCAGTCCTCATCCGTGTACTTGCACGAGTGCTGCTCCAGCGCGCCGCGGCCGTCGTCCTGCTGCTGCGCTGTGTCCTGCTCCTGGTCGTGGCCGCCTCGCTCGTCCTGCTCCTGGTCGTGGCCGATCGTGTCCTGCTCCTTGCCGTGGCCGCTCGTGTCCTGCTCCTGGTCCTGTGGCTGCTCCTGGTAGTGGCCGCCCGTGTCCTTCTCCTGGTCGTCCCAGATGCGGCCCATGAAAGCCCGTGCCGTCTGGGCGCGCTTCCACTCGAAGTCGGCGTCGGTAGTGGCGGCGTCGGTGCCTCCGCGCGGTGGCGGCGGCGGCGGAGGCACGGTTGGCGGCCTCGGCGCAGGGCGGTCGCGGTCTCGCCATAGGTGGGTTGGCGGAGGATCGCCAGGGGGTTTCGGCAGCTTGGGCATCTTCTTCGCCGTTGGCTGAAGCCTCGGCTTGGGCGTGTCGGGCTGGGCGGCCGCCGCAGCGGGCTCGGCGGGCGGGGCGGCCGTCTCGGCAGGCCGCCTCGCCCATCGGCGGATGCGAACCTCGCCAGAGGAACTCTGCGCACGCCGCACCCCCCATCCCCAGGTTCGCTTCGGCGTGGCAGCAAGGATGTCCGCCATGACCATCAGCGCGAGCATCGAGCGCGCGGCGCCATCGCCAGCGCCCCCGCTCGAGGGCGAGGAGGCTGTGCCACGCTCCATCGGGACGCGGTCGGCCCCGCTGGGCGCGCCGCCTCATTAGCCAAAATGGCAGCGGGACTGGGGGCCTCGAGGGCGAGGACGAGGAGGAGCAAGATGAGGCTGGCGCTGGGAGTGGCGATGCTGATGCTGCAGGGTAGGGGTCATGATGATTACGGTGCCAGATTAAGGGCTCTATGTGGCATGCCTTGGGGCCATCTTGTGTCTTATTGGAGCCACCGCCAGGCCTCGGAACGCCAAGACGCTGCAAACAGTATAGTTCCCCCTACGCGTTGTAAGGACGTGGGCCTCTTGTGGGGCTCATTGGAGCTCTCGTGCGCCACTTGGAGCCGTCTTGAAGGAGCGAGTCATGGCATGTTAAAGCATGGCTCGGAATGGGGGGTCCATGGTAGTGGGGGCGGTGCGAGTGGGAGTCGGAGAGGGCACGTGCAGCTCGCGAGCATGCTCGCGAGCTGCGCGGCCGTGCACGGTCGTACAGCTGACGAGCATGGTGATGAGTATTGTGAATGTTACGACGATGTTGCAACATATCCACCCATAGTGACGATAATGGTGAATGATGATGGTGACGATGCTTCTCTGATGCACACAACGTCTGGGAGCAACTAGCGGCTGGGCAGCTCGCACCCTATCGGGCTACCACGTGATCCCCATCGAGGGCAGCTCGCGAGCACGCTCGCAATGCCCTGCTGCTGACAAACATGCACGCGCCATGCTAACCAACTGCCACGCTCACTGGCCACCTGCGGGCGAACCGACACCTGCCGATGGCGGCTCTGGCTCCTTCTCGCTGGCGTCCTTGCAGAACTGCGCGAGAGCGGCCGTCGCCTCGTTAGCCTTGAGCTGCACGAAGTCGGGGTCATTGCTGCGGGGGACGGGCAAGGAGTGGAACCTTGTCTTCTGCTTCGCGGCGTCGAAGTACCTGCAGTACACGCAATGGCGAGACGCCCACCACTTCACAGTCTTGTCATCGATCGTCGGCACGAACTCAACGAGGGAAGGGTGGGGCTTCACCAGCAGCAAGTTCAAGTTGGTGGTCGACAGCTCGATCCATGGAGAGCTCTGGGGGTTCCAATCAGACAGGACTTTGACTATGGACTCGTTGCCTTCGGCTGTCTTGACCACCACGTCGAACGTTGCTGGAACATCGTCTGCCATCTCCTTGCGCTTGCGCTTCTGGCCATGGGGGTCGCCAGGCGCATCTGCATCCCCCAAGGGATCACTCCCGACCGCCTTCTCATTGACTGCAGTATCGAATGCATCGTTTCTAAGAGTAACCACAGCGTCCACCATGGCCAACTCATTGCCCACAAAACGCTTGAACGATGGGTCGCCCTTGCAAGCATGAAAGAAATACACCCCATCGACAGTTTTGAGCTCTGCATTCCATTTCGGTTTGCCTTGCTGTATGTGACCGCCGCCCACCTTAGCTTGCAAGACAAAACTGGCCTCGGCGGCGGCCATGGTGGCGTGCGCAACGATTGATCAGCACGGGCTGCGGAGTGGCAGCGGCGGTGGCGTGGGGGAGGGGGAGGGAGAGCGGGTGCCTGGCCCCTCCAGCCCAGATGGGCGTCGGTGGTGTGGGTCGCCCCCCATTCCTGCCAAATTCTCCCCCCTTCGGGAATGGGTTCCCCCTGTTGTTCCGATCGTTGGACAGATGGATATAGTGATGGATGTAGATACACAAATATGTGACGAAATACTGAAAACATGTAGGCATATCGGTAGGCACGCATATAGATGTGTATGTATATCGACATATATATATATAGATCGTGATATGTATGGTATGTATATATGTAATGGCGGATGTATATATGTATTTCTACGCGCACATATTGATATACGCAAGAATCAATAGACATGCAGATAGGTAGGTAAGTCGACAAGACACCCCTGACAAAACACAGCCATCGATCGACCGAAGCGACCACTCAGGTCACTTTAAACAGACCCCGCATGTTAAGGTGACCGTTTGGGTCGCGTCGGGGCCCGCTTGGAGTCCACGCGGGGCCCTCTTATAGCGTTCTGCGGGTCCCCATTGCAGCGCTCTCGGGGCTTCCAATAGGCTCCAAGATGATCTGGGAGGACTAGGCGGAGACCCTCTGTGGGCCCCAAGAGCACCCTGGAGGGCCACCATGAAACCAAAACGAGTTTAAGGTGATCTGTTGTGCTACCTCGGGGTCCGATTGTGGGCTACGCGGGGCCTTCCTGTTGCTTTATGCGGCATCCCACTGCAGCACTCTCGGGGTCCACAATTAACCACAGGAGGAGCCCTAAGAGCCCTGGATGGCCACACTAACATTAAAACGATGCCGTGGTCACCGCTTGGGTCGCTTCGGAGCCCGCTTGAGGTCCACACGGGGCCCTACTTGCACTCTTGCAGCACCCTGGGTGGCTCCCATTTGGCTCCAGTGGGCTCTGGGAGAACCCCCGCCCACCACCTTCCCCCCCATTCCCCCATCCCCCCCTCTCCGCCCCATCAGCCCTCAGGGAGCCCCACTGATGCCACCGCGTCGGCGGCGATCCCTATAAGGCGGAATCGACGCAACTACCTAGTCCCAGCCGCGCACCAACCTGGCCGAACGCAGCCCAAAAATGGGGGCTGCAGAACACCGCAACGGCTTCCAATATGGCTTCCAGCATGCAGAAGGCCGTCCAAGAGGGCACGATAGGCGTCCAAGATGACCAGAGCTCGCCCAAGATGGATGAGCGCGACATGCCAGATGACGGAGACATCGAATGCAATGTTCAACGCATCGTTCGTCGCCCCCCCTCCTCCGACCTCCCCAGCTGACCCCGCCCTCCCGCACTTACCACGCACATCCCAACAACTAATACATAGTTTTCTCTGCTGGGAGCGCGCGCAGCGCGCGCAACGTCACTCTCAGATTGGCGTGTGCAACAGAAAAATCTGCGAACGTGGAACGTGGATGTAACTCAAGCTGCGCATAGATGCACCAGAGCTCGCAACCGCCCTAAGATGCAAATCAAACCGCCTACCGATGTCTCTTCGCCGTGCCCCCAGAGGCGTCGACGCCCCTCTTCTTGGTTTTGGCCTTGCTCAAGGCTGCCCGATCTTGGTCAAACACCCTCAACTCATCGCCAGCCTTCAAGCTGGACTTGTTCGTGAGCACTGGGACGTCCACGAAGGCGTCTCCGCCGTCGGAAAGGCTGCTCCCAGCCCCGACTAGGATGCGGATGTGGCTGACCTGCATGTTGGCGGAGGCACTGTCCCCCTCGGGCTTCACGCACCAGAACGGCGCCACGAACGGCACCACCTCCTTGGAGTGGCAGCCCGATACGGTCTCCCCGTGCGCGTAGTCGCAGCGCTGAGAAACAAACGCCTGAACCTTGCCAGACGCATCCCTAGGGCAGCCTAGGCAGACGGAGCCATTTGGGCCGTCCTTAGAGAGGGCCGAAACCGAAGTCGAGAAAGGGGCCAGCACGAGCTTACCTTTCGCATAGGCGGACTTGGTGAACACGGACCTCTGCGGTTTCAACTGCACCTCGAAACCTGTATCTCCACCGCCATTGTATGCTACCGACTGGTGCTCGATGAACGCCTTCTCAAGCGCCAGCCTCGCAACAGCCTTTGTGCATTCCGCCGAGCTGTCTGAGTGGTCATGCGGCGACTGAAGATCCTTTGTTTGAACGACCACCTTATGCTCAGGTTGCATGATGGACCAGCTGTCGGCCAAATCGGCGGCTGACACCTTTAGCTTCACGGGGATCCTGCCGCTGTCGTTCACGAGAACCAGAACGCACTCCGCGCCCACGGAGTCCAACTTGTATGTCTCGCCTTTGCGGCTGCTGGTCGTCACGTGCACCTTCGGAACGAACCCCATAGCTGCCAACGAAGACGGGTCGAAGGCATTTCCTGAAAACTCACGGAATGCTGCGCCAGACTTGCCACTGTCACTGGATTCGCTCTGCCACGGCGCCTTTACTTTGGGATCCTTCACCACGTCGGCCACGCATCGAACGAAATCATCGCATATCTCATCGATTGACTTGAACTGTTTCCGACTCTTTGACCTCTTGCTGCACACGTGCATGACCAGCTTCACTGCGAACTCGCCTGAATGCTTCACGATTGCCCCCTCGTCGACGCCAAGGCTGGCCAGCCAATCTCGGCCTTTGGTGTATCTGGCGACTGCTTCTGTTATAGGCGGCATAAGGTTGCCAGTCATTGCCTGCGTGTCCACGCTGTTGAATAGTTTGCATTCGCCTTTGACTACAAAGTTTTCGGGCGCCGACTGGCACGCTTTAAGACACATGAATATCCAACTTGGCATCTTGGCAAATGGTAGATCCTTGAACAAAACAAGTGTGGCTGGCGACAGATCGCGCTGGAATTTGAGCTGTTTCCCGAACGTGTCCAAATCTTTAAGATGGATAGGGTCGGCCCCGCCCGCCCAGTTCTCCACAAACTTACAAAGATTTGACATTTGCCCTGCCAGATCGGGCCGAAAACTATCCATTTGTTTGGCTATACCGTCCCAGTTCGGCTTGCCCTGCAATTTGGTGTTCGTCACGGCCCTGGCATGCAGTTGGAAGAGAACTTGCATGATAGATGGGTCTTTCCTGATCCGGTTGCCGACGTTGCCCGCTTCCTGAAGGAAGGCGGCGATCATCGGGCACGCACTAGCTACTTCGTGCCCCACTATGACAAAGGGCAGCCCTTTCTCAAACGGCTGGGACATCGATGGCGACAGCTCGCACAACCTGTCCTTGCTAAGCTTTCCGTTGATTGCGTATTCCACCGAATCGGCCGTCGGGCTCGCGCCGCTTTCCACGGCCCAGATCCACGCCATCGCGTGGGAACAACTTACTGTAAATGCCCTGATGCCATGCGGCTTGATATCTCCAAGCGTACCGCCACAACTTGAGATGGTTGCCTGCACCTTGTCCAAATCTTGCTTTGCTGCCGCGCCAGGGGGGCGCTCGATGGCACGAGCCTTGCCTTGCACTTCGCGCCAACTCCACCCGTCAACTGCGATGTTTCTTCCAACCCAATGGGCGTGAGGCGGGTGAATGATAGAATCGAAACGATTGTTCACGTGAGGGCGCGCTTTTTCTGCCGTGAGCCACTCTGTGTACGCCAGATCGTTAGTCAACAATGAGTCGACGAGAGCATCGGCCTCCGACTTGAGCGTAGCGTCCTTGGTGGAGGCGCTAAGCATCATTTCCATTTTACTGTTCCACGCCGCGGCTCCAAACTTCTGCAACGCATCTTTGAATGGTTCGTCTGCCATCGAGAAGAACACGATGAGCGGCGCAAGCGCCAGCAAGCAAAACGATGATAATATGCAATATGCGGACATGGCTGAACGACCTCGAACAGCTGCGAACACGCGCGCGCGATGGGGCCTCAGGGGATGCCATCATTCGGGCATGGCGGCCTATGCGCATAACCCCGCCCCCAACCCCCCCCCCCTCCCCCTGGGACCCAGAGGCACTATAAGACACTGGGGTGCGTGGGTGAGGGGAGGGGAGGGGGGGCGGGGGCTGGGTGCGCGGGGGGAAGGGGGTGGGGCGGGGGTGGGTGGTGGTGGTGGTGGTGTGTGTGTGTGTGTGTGTGTGTGTGTGTGTGTGTGTGTGTGTGTGTGTGTGTGTGTGTGTGGTGTGTGTGTGTGTGTGTGTGTGTGTGTGTGTTTGTGTGTGTGTGTGTGTGTGTGTGTGTGTGTGTGTGTGTGTGTGTGTGTGGTGTGTGTGTGTGTGTGTGTGTGTGTGTGTGGTGTGTGTGTGTGTGTGTGGGGGGGGGGGGGGGGGGCGGCGCGAGCCCTGCTCTGCGCCCCATGCCAAGGTTACCCCCCCCCCCCCCCCCCCCCCCCACACAAACACACACACACACACACAACACACACACACACACACACACACACACACACACACACACACACACACTGCATTGATACACATGGGCCCTGAAGCCCCGATGCATTGATGCCTCGCGCGCGCTTTCTCCACCCCTGCCCCCTGGGCGCAAATGGTTATGACAATTTGCTCGCCAAGAGTGGCCACGCGCGGCCCAAGGCGGCCAAAAACAGCCCCAAGAGCACCTAAGAGGCCCCCATGCAAGCGCCCAAGATACCCCCAAGAAGGCGTCGGAGAGTTCCGAGAGGCCCTATGGTGGCCCAAGAGCGCTCGAAGAAACCCCAATATGGCTTCAACCACCCTGCAATACCTTGCAATGCCCTGCAAGCGGCCCTGGGATACCTTACAAAAGGCTCTGGAATGCCCTGCAATGGCACTGCAATCCAACCAACACTCTAGGCATACATCGGCGACTGGATTAGTATAGTTGTTAGCATAATGTAATAGCATGATGTATTAGCATAGTGTGTTAGCATAGTTTATTAGCCCAATGCTACGCAAGGGTAAAACTGTTAGAGTAATGTGTTCGAGTGTGTTAGCATAGCGTTAGCATAGTGTATTAGCATCGTGTATTAGCATAGTGTACTCGCATAGTGTATTCGCATAGTGTATTAGCATAGTGTATTAGCATAGGGTATTCGCAGAGTGTATTAGCATAGTGTGTTCAACATAGTTTTTTAGCATAGTGTCCAACGCACAAGGCAAACAATGACACAATGATACACAATGTCTTAGTAGAGTGTATTCGCGTAGTAATTTTGCATAGCGTTTGCGCTGTAGTAGCATAGTGTATTAGCATCGTGTATTAGCATAGTGTATTAGCATAGTGTATTAGCATAGTGTATTAGCATAGTGTGTTAGCATAGTGTATTAGCATAGTGTATTAGCTAAGTGTATTCGCATAGTGTATCAGCGTAGTGTATCAGCATAGTGTGTCAGCATAGTGTAATGTATTAGCATAGTTTATTAGCACAGCGAGACACAATGATACACAAGGGTAAAAGTATTAGCATACTATTGGCACAATGTATTAGCACAGCGTATTTGCATGGTGTACCAGCTTAGTGTATTAGCGTAGTGTATTTGCATACTGTATTAGCACAGTGTAGTAGCATAGTGCATTTGCATAAGCACAGTCTCCACCGCACGGTCAGACGTCGATGCCATGATACACAATGTCTTAGTAGAGTGTATTAGATTAGTGGATCAGCATGGTGTATTAGCACAGTGTATGCACTGTATTAGCATAGTGTATTAGCGTAGTGTTTTAGCATAGTGTATTAGCATAGTGTATTGGCATAATGTATTAGCACAGTGTCCATCGCACGGCAGGACGTTGACACAACGATCTACAATTCTAAACAAGGCGGAAGCACTCATTTAGTGATAATGTATTAGCAAAGTGTATCAATCTGTTAGTGTAATGTATTGAAGTGTATTAGCATAGTGTATTAGCATAGTGTATTAGCATAGTGTATTAGCATAGTGTATTAGCATAGTGTATTAACATAGTGTATTAGCATAGTGTATTAGCACAGTGTATTAGCACAGTGTATTAGCATAGTGTATTAGCATAGTGTATTAGCATAGTGTATTAGCATAGCGTATTAGCATAGTGTACTAGCATGGAGTGATAGCAGAGTGTATTAGCAGAGTGTATTGACACAGGGTGATAGCATAGTGTATTAGCAGAGTGTGCTAGCATACTGTGTTAGCGTAGTGTATTCGCGTTGCGTATGAACGTAGTGTAATAGCATAGTGTATGATCATAGTGTATGTGCTAACACACTATGCTAACACACTATGCTAACACACTATGCTAAAACACTATGCTATACACTATGCTATACACTATGCTATACAATATGCTAACACACTATGCTATACACTATGATAACACAGTATGCTTTACACCATGCTATACACTATGCTATACACTATGCTATACACTATGCTACCAACGATGCTTCACACTATGCTATACAATATGCTTACACACTATGATATACACTATGCTAACACACTATGCTATACAGTATGATATACACTATGATATACACTATGCTAACACCGTATGCTATACACTATGCTATACACTATGCTGACACACTATGTTATACACTATGATATACACTATGATATACACTATGGTATACACTATGCTATACAGCATGCTATACACTATGCGATACACTATGCTATTCACTATGCTATACCCTATGCGTAGTGTGTTAGCATAGTGTATCAGCATAATGTATTAGCATAATCTATTATGTATTTGTTATGTATGGTTAACCTGTTTTTTTGTATGGTTAAGATTAAGAGTTCTCGATTTGAGGACGTTGAATATTGCTTGGGTCGCACTTCGGACATGGTTGAGTCAGGTGAAATAGTTGGGGTGCATTCGGGCATTGTTGAACTAGTTGAATTAGTTGATGCGCGCAGGTCGGAGTTAGTTGAACTAGTTGAATTAGTTGGGGCGCACCTTTTTCGAATTAGTTGAATTTGTTGTGGTGGAACTCGCTTTAAGGGGCTTCGGGGCCACTCAGATCATGACTTGACCTCGCCCTGGGAAACCCCTTCAGGACGTACCTCACAGAACAGGACCATCCCCCAGGCCCTGGCCCCATGGGCTTTTTCCCATGGCAGCTTGCCCAAACAGGACAGCATCCACGCAACCTGCCTTCAGATTTTCATGCACAAACATATGTTTTACTGCTGCCGCTCGTGCGGATGTAAGAACACGCGTGCCTTCCATTGCGGAAGTTCATTGCTCCCATGAGCCTCAAGGGGCTTTGAGAGCAACCGACGGTTCATGCTGCATGTTACTTGCGCGGGGGCTTCTTTATTTTCAAAAACCATGAAGGACAAACCAAGCGCCATCACATCGTTGAACGTTAGGAACAAACAAACAAACAAAAAACAACACATAACAATGCAAACACAAAGCGCGCAGGCCAAAAAAAACATGGATAACTGAAAAAAACATCAAAACACATATAAAAACACAACTCCACCACCGAAAAAACGATATATGTCATGCAAAAATCACATAACACATTAGCGCGCTAACCTACTTAGCTGATCTGTCCAACCTGCTTCCCTAACCTGGTTAGCTAACCGATCTAAACAGTAAACTAAGTGACTTAGCTAACCATGCTAAGCGGAACTGGGAACCATGCTAAGTGTATAACGAGGTTGATGCTAAGTGGTTAGCTTAGTGTGCTATCCGTGACCGTAATGTGCTATCCATTTAGCATGGTTACCTAAACGGTTGGCATGCTTTGTGTGCACTTAGCATGGTTATAACCACGCTTATATCATGCATATATCCATATGCTACCCGCGCTAACCGAGAGCAAAGCAGGGCGACGATCGCAGCAGGACCGCGCAAGGTGGCCGGCGGCGGCGACGCCGGCGGCGGCGACGAGGAGGAATGCCCCGAGATTGCCCAGGAAGGGGCCATGGACTGCCCAAGATCGGGGGCGCGCAGACATGGATTAGCGATCCATGACTTTGGCACGCGGTCGCCAAATCCATGCATCGGGGGAAGGGCCCTCCGAAAAATGCAGCCGGTGCCGCCTCGGTCGGCGGCGGAGATCCGCAATCTCCCATGGAAACGGGACCCGTCAAACTCAGCGCCCCCTGAATCCACGCTCGCGATCGCCTGACATGAGGCCCCCCGCCCATGTCCACAGAGGCTGCCCCCCGAGCCGGCCCAAGACGCCTGCGAGAGCTCCCGGCCCAGGGCACGCCCAAGACGCGATTGAGGGAAGGCCTCCCGCCCGAATGCTTCCCCGAGTGGTCCTCGTGGCCACGAGAGCAGGCGCGGTCCGACGCCTCGACCTGGGCTCCGGCCCGAGGTTTGGCCACCCTGCTAGGAGGCAACTACTGGGAAGTCTTCGTCGGAAGGATTACGGAAGATTAAACCCCATTGGGGGGCTGTTGCGCCGGAATGGGCCTCTGAACAAACGGGATTAAGCTGGATTACAATGGATTAAACGGGATTACGCTGGATTAAACGGGATTGAGCCGGATTAAGCTGGATGTCGGACCAGGGCAACATCAGAATTTGTCCTCCCAGGAGTTGCATCCGAAACACTGGCGGTTCCAGAAGAGCAGGGTGACGGCGGCGGCTCGCCTCAAAGCGTCTTCGATAACTTGCCCTGGCATGCCCCGCAGACTCCTGCGGCCTTCGCCCACAGCTTGACCGCGATCCCGAGGTCGCGGACGTTGGAGTCGAGGCTCGAGTAGGCCTTCAAGAGCTGCGTGTTCTGGAAGGGCAACTGGTTATTGCAGGAGAGGTCGACGTCCAGTACGCCATCGAAGCGAAGCTTCAGGATGGGCACCTTGGCGCCGAGGATCTCCTCGACGATTTCAAACTGTGGCTGTTCCCTGAGGATCGGGATCAACCTGTCCTTCATAATACTTGCCGCCTGGAGCGGCTCTGGTGGCGGTTCGCCAGCCACCTCCTCCTGGGCGAACGCGGCGTCGATGTCCGAAGCACGAGTGCAAAAGCCATTCGCCACGCTCCCGAAGAGCTTCACAACCCAATCCTCGCCGAGCGCCCTGGCGGCCGCACGCAGCTGGTCGACGCAGTTGTCGATCCGCGCCTCGTCTGCAGCAGTCAGGGCGCACTCCCGGATCCTCTCGCACACGTCCGAGGTCAGCTGGTGCAAGGAAGCGGAGCCGTTGTGCTCGCGCCGCCCCGTTCGGCGGACGTGGCGCTCCCGTCTGCCCCTCGCACCAGGGCTGCTCTTGCCATGCGCATCTGTCGGATCCTTGGTGGTCTTGCTCGCGCCGCCCTGCGGGCTCCACCTGGGTGCCCGGGGCCCCGACGGGGCGGCTTGAGCGCGCATTGTTTTTGAATGGAGTGAAGCCTGCCGAGAAGAGGGGGGCTTCTAGCGTTGTGCCACCGTGCCGCAGTTGAGAGGCCAGCGCACCCTTGGGTGGGTCTGGCCCGTCAGCTGGGTGCGACCAGGAACGGTCCCAAGTGACTTCAGCAAAATTGCTTGATAACCAATGGCTGCGGCGTGTGTGAAATGCGGGTTTAAACAAAGCGCACCGAGCTCGTCCGCGCTCTGTGCAGCGGGTGGTGCTTTTCAGGCGCTTCGGCTTGTTAATCTGCTTCGCTTGGCTTGCGCCCGAGGGTGATTCACCCCCCACGACTGATCGAACCCGACGTGCGGCCACGTTCTGCTCCGAGCTGTAGCGTTTCTTGATGCATCCCTGGGAGCCGTCAGCACCATCTCAAGTGCGGCGCTTCATGGACACTCCCCTGGGGGGGGGGTACCACTATGAGTAACTCGGGAGCGGCCAAGAGGGGGGTGTCCAAGAGGGGGGGGTGCAAATCATGACCGGCGGCATGTGCGCGGCCCAGCGGGGGGGCCTGGGACGTAATGAAATTAGAACAGGCGCCATGAAATCTGAGGAAAAATCATGGCCCGCGCCATGAAATCCACCCCCCCTAGTCATCACCCCCCTCTTTTCCGCTCCCGAGTAGCGCGCTGGACCGGCAATCTGCCTGCTGCCCGGGGCCGTTCCCACAGCGCGTCCCGGCCAGGACGTCGAGGCGCCGCCCGCCAAACGTGACGAGGGGGCCCTCCGGGACGAGCGCCGGCAACGGCAAACACCGCCAGATCCGAGCTCGGGAACAGCGGGGCGCGCCGGGAGAGGCACCAGACAGGGGCGCCGCCAGGGGGGGCCAAGCTGCAGCTGGCCCCCCCGTGGCGGCGATATGGGTACATCCCCGCCTCGCATGCGAGGCGGGGATTTGCCCAGATCCACCGCCTGGGAACCGGCGTGCTGGTGCCCCAGCGGGCGGCGGATTATGGATGTGTTTCGGCCCCCGCGGGGCCCGAATGTGCCCAGATCCACCGCCCGCCGAGGCTCCGACAGCTGACCCTCCAGGCGGTGGATGTGGATAAATTCCTGCCTCGGAGCCAGCGGCGGACCTGGAACACCGAGCGGAGAGCTCGGAAAAGGTAACGCCTGTCCGCTGCATCTCGTCTTCGAAGCTGCTGCTCGGACCGCTCGCCATCGCTCGGACGTCCATTCCCTGTGTTTTTTTGATTTCGTGCGTGTTTTTTTCGCCAAATGATCAAGGATGCTCCTCGATGGTCCCCGCAGAAAGAAAAATGCACACGTCCGAGCGATGCCAAGACCGTTCCTGGAGCGCTTTCTGGCGAGCATCCTGGGGCGGATCCCGCCGCCGGCGGCGAGGGCGCTCCAGGGCGAGCAGCAGCATCGGCAGGGCGAGCAGCAGCATCGGCAGGGCGTGTCCCTAAGATGGCCGAGCAAAAAGCGAGGACAATCTTAGGGATAGGCCCTCAGAACCTGAAGGGAATCCTTAAGATCGGCATCGAGGTGAGGTGATGTCAAACATAGGGATAAGGATATGTTTCAACCTGGTCAAGGGTTGCTCGATGTCGTACCTTCTCATCAGCAGGGGGGACGGGCGCCAACCCAGAAACTCTGCGCGACCGGCGCTCCGACCAGACCGCCGAGGCGCACCCAGCCGCAGCGACGAGGGCTCCCCAGGACGAGCCAAGGGCATCGGCACCTTTCACGCTCTGAACAGCAGAGAGGGCGAAAGGGGGGGATAGCAAAGGGGGGGGTTGAGAATCAGCTGCATGCAGCAAATTTCGCCCCCCCCCCCCCCTTTCCCAATCACCCCCTTTCGTCCGGCCCGAGAAAAGCAGAGAGGGCAAACCTTCCTCAACATACGCTCTCAAGGGCCCGCACGGACCTCGTGGCCCAGCACTGGACACGCCCCTGGGCCTGGGAGGGGGGGGGGGCGGAGGCGCCGCAGCGTCCAAGATGGCCCAAGAAGGCTCCAAGAGGGCTTCAAATTCGCAAGATGGCCTCCAAGATGGCCCATGCTTCTTCAAGATGGGTCAAGATAGCCTCCGACATACCCCCAAGAGGCCCCAAAACAGGCCCAAGACGGATCCAAGTGCCCTCCGGGCCCTCCACGGCGCCCTCCAAGATGCCAAAACCCTTCAAAAGCCTAGGGAAGATCAATGTGTTTGGCATTATCGCCTTTTTACTTCCGATGGGCTTTGGAAGCCTCAAGATGGCCCCAAGATGGCCCAAAAAAGGCCCAAGAGGGGCCCAAGAAGGCCGAAGACGGCCCCAAGATCGTCCAAGAGGCGCCCAAGAGCGCTCCAAGAGGGCCCCAAGATGCCGTTTGAGAGCCTCCGAGGGGGCGGGGCTAATTGAGGAACCTCCTCTTTTTGAGCCATGGGGCCCAAGAACCCCGAGAGGCCTCCCAGCCTCTCCCCAAAGACCCTCCACCCCGCCCTGTTTGGCCCAATCTGGCTCCAAGAGAGCCCTAGATAGGCAAATATGGTTTTCAAAATGGAATAAGATAGCCAAGCATGGCTCAAGATAGCCTCCGACAGACCTCCAAGAGGCCTCAAGGCAGCTTCAAGATGGCCAAAGATAGCCGAGCATGGCTCAAGATAGCCTCCGACAGCCAATAGCCGAGCATGGCTCAAGATAGCCTCCAAAAGAGGCCTCAAGAAAACTGGCAATCAATTATGGATGGGCTCACAAGACGTGGTTCAACATCGGCCCAAACAAACACGTTCCCAATCTCACAATCGCGGATTCACCGAGGACTCGAGAATGGGCTACATTTTTCAGGGTATGGTCTGCGTTTGTCGTTATCTCCCTGGTTAAACCCTACCCCGAAATCTCCCTCCCCGAAGTCTGCAGGACCCTGCGTTCTGGTCTGGCCCTCGCGTTTTCGGGATTGGGCGTCGTTTTGAGTTGGTGCAACATTTGAACAGGGACCGACCGTCCTGGCATCCCTATAATGCCTACCACGAAATGTTTTTAGAAACCAGAGATGTTCGAAGAACAAAAGCCATGTTCTTAGAACATTCTCCCGATGTGTTAAAAAAACAAGACAGTCCCAGCCAGAAATGTCCTAAGAACATTTCGTTGAAACAACAAGCAAATCTTAGAACACTGTTTGGTAGGCCTATAGGCACGCCAGGACGCTTGGCCGCTGCTTGAAACATGGCCCGCCACTGGTCCCTACAGTGCCCTACAACCGCCAACGTGCCGTGCCGCGCCCGCATGCCGCGCCTGAATCCCGGGCCCCCCCGACGTCATGCTTCTGTAATGACGTCGGCCCCCTTCATTGAGCAGGGACCGACCGTCCCGGCATTCCTATAGTCCTACCACGAATTGTTCTTCGAACCCAAAAATGTTCTAAGAACAAACACATGTTCTTAGAACATAAACCAGATGTGATAAAACAAGACAGACTCCGCCAGAAATGTTCTAAGAACATTTCGTGGAAACCACAAAAGGTTCTTAGAACATTGTTTGGTGGGGCTATAGGCGAGCAAAGACGCTTCGCCACTGCTTGACTGCAGGAAATTTCGACCTCTTCCCCGAGACCAGCTTCTCATCCCGAATCGTTTTTTGCTGGCCCCGAGACACGGTGAGGGCCCCGAGAGGCTCAAACTTGTAAACACAATCAGTGCTTGCACTAAGGGCGTCATAATGGAACTTGAAATTTAGGCGAAAAAGTCCCGCCCATCCCCGCCGATCTTGGTGGCCGGCTGGGTTCCCGGGTTCTGGGTTCCCGGGTTCTCGGTTATTGCTTCGGGGCCGATTCCGGTCGGTTCCAGGTTCCCAGGTTCCTGGTCGACCTCCTTTATCGAGAACCATCTGCTGATTGAGGTTGTTCTCTGGTGCAATGTATTGCATTACTCGAGGGGGTCTGGGTTTCCAGAGTGCAGAAATGTTGCCGCCGTATATATCAAAAATAAGTGGGGCATATGCTTAACTTGCTCTTCCGCTTCTGCTACAAAATTAAACAAGTAAAACATCAGGGAAGCAAGGCCGCCCGCGCGCCGCGCCGTGCCTTGGCCGCAGGAGTGCGGGATGAAGCGTCGCCCGCGTGCCGTGCCTGCGCCGCCAGCATCTGGGACACACCGGGGCTGAACCTCAACGGTGTTTTTCGTTTTTTCGTTTTGCTTTCCGTTTTCCCTCGCTTTCGTAACGCATCCGCCTTCACCGCAAAACGAAGTCGAAACGAAGACGGCCCACGGAATCACCAGAAGCACCGTTTAGGTCCAGCCTTGTCTGGGACGCACATCGACGAACGAGGTCCCAAAACTAAAGCTTGCACTGAAGAAATCCTGGCGGATATGGAAAAATGTGACAAACAATTCCCGCCGATTTTGGTGGCCCGCTGGGTTCCCGGGTTCCCGGGTTCCCGGTTCCAGGGTTCCCGGGTTCCTGTAGTGGTTCCGGGCCGATTTCGGTGGGTTCCGGGTTCCTGGGTTCCCGGGCGATTTCCTCATTGATCTCTTTATCGATCCCATTTCAAACCATCCACTGATTGGGTTGCTCTCTGGTGTGCTACTATCTGTCTTCCTTGGAGGCGCGCGTCCGACCCGAACATCTAGTAGACCAATTCGGTAGTAGATCGTGTAGATCGTTTCCCGAGCGGCGTGGCCAGAAGGCGCCCGCCACGACGCAGATATTACAGTGTATAAGATTTCTTGGTGCGCGCGTCGCCCCTGGGGGGCGGCGCACACATAGTATCAGTATGCTTGGGTGACTGAAGGGGCTCTGGGACACACTGATAAATAGACATACGGAACTGAATTCCCAGTATTTTCCCATATTTTTGGGGGGAATCGGAGATTGATTTTGTCTGTGTTTTTTCCCCTCCTCGGGTGATGCCGAGAACCCGTCCATCTCGACTGCCGCGGGGCCGTGCCCCCCTCCCTGGCGCGCGGAGCGCCCTCAGGGGCGGCGCAGGAGGCGCCACCAGGGGGGCCCCAGCGCGGATA